GCACAGGCCAACACCACCCAGTAATTTTTAAATATTTTAATTTATTTTAAAGAGATGGGGTCCTTGGCTATGTTTGCGCAGGCCTGGTATGGAACCTCTTGCGCCCTCAAGTGATCTTCCTGCCTTGGCTCTCACAGTGGTGGGATTACAGGTGTAAGCCATAGCCCCACACACAGCCTGCGTATTTACTTACTATCATGTGCGCTATATGTCTGCCATGGTACTTGCCAGATCTGGCGTGACTAATAAAAAGGAAGTCTGGAAGCCATGCAAAGGGCAGTAACACCAGGCGGTTGGCACCAGAGCCCTCTGAAGGAAATGTTTAGGCCTTGAAAATTGAGAATAGTTCTGTAACTGCCCTATTTTATCCTTTAGAAAGGACAGAAAACACATTGATCTCTGGCCTAGAACAGATAGAAAGCATTTAACCTAAGCGTTTAAGAATGTGTTTATAGGCCGGTGTGGTGACTCGCACCTGTAATCTCAGCACTCTCGGCGGAGGCCAAGGGGCGGCCAGGATCATTTGAGCTCAGCAGTTGGAGACCAGCTTGAAGGACAAAAGACCCGTCTCTACTATAAATAGAAAGAAATTAGCCAAAAAACTAAAAAGAGAAAAAATTAGCTGGGCACAAGTGTCTATAGTCCAGCTACTTGGGGAGAGGCTGAGGCAAGAGGATCCCTTGGCCCAGGAGTTTGAGGTTGCTGTGAGCTAGGCTGACACCATGGACCTCTAGCCTGGGCAGCAGAGTGAGACTCTGTCGCAAAAAGAAAAAAAAGAATGTGTTGATAGTCTGTTTAGCATGTATTCAACATTATTTATGGTCTAGGCCCTAAAATACTCATCAAAGTGGTAACTCTTAATGCTTCTATAACTTTACTATTTCTCAAGTTGCCACTTTGTTCAGTTTTTTCTTCCTTTTTTTTTTTGGTATCCTTTGAGACATGGTCTTGCTTTGTTGCTCAGGCTGACTGAGTGGCATCATCATGGTTCACTGCAGCCTTTAACTTTTTTTTTTTTGAGACAGAGTTCACTTTGTTGTCCAGGCTAGAGTGAGTGCCGTGGCCATCAGCCTAGCTCACAGCAACTCAAACTCCTGGCTCGAGTGATCCTTCTGCCTCAGCCTCCGAGTAGCTGGGACTACAGGCATGTGCCACTATGCCCCGGCTAATTTTTTATATATATATATCAGTTGGCCAATTAATTTCTTTCTGTTTATAGTAGAGACGGGGGTCTCGCTCTTGCTCAGGCTGGTTTTGAACTCCTGACCTTGAGCAATCCGCCCGCCTCGGCCTCCCAAGAGCTAGGATTACAGGCGTGAGCCACAGCGCCCGGCCTCAGCCTTGAACTTTTGGGCTCAAGCAATCTTCCTGCCTCAGCTTCCTGAGTAACTAGGACTACAGGTGTGAGTTAACACATGTGGTTGTTCAGTTCATTGCTATCATCTGTCCAGAGAGCCCAGATTAGAGCAGGACAGAGGGTTCCTGGACAAATGTGTCTAGGGAAAAAAGGTACAGGTGAGATAGGTAGACTGACAAGTCTGATCATTTAAAATTTCAGCAAAAAGTTAACTGTGGTAAAATATATTAGTTGGATTAAAGAAGTAAATCACCATTTTTCACAGAAGGAAGAGAACAGGTCATATCTGAAACTGAGAAACCAAGAAATCAGAGCATAAGTATCTTAGGTATAAATATGGAGATAAATATCAGAGGAAACATACAATTGTCGAACATGGCTTTCTTTATCTAGGTAGCAGGAATTGGGGTGGGCAAGGCCACCTGATGTCACTTATTTGTCTACTTTGGAGATGGAGTGTATGCCAGACTGGACTTAAATTATGGCTACAAATTTTCTGACACTCCTCTCACTGAGAAGTGAGGTTCTGTGTCCCCTTCCTTTGAGTTAGAGAGGGTTCTGTGTCTGTTTTGATCTGTAGAATACAGTGGAAGTGATTCTGAGACTGTTTCTGGTCCAGGCCTTAAAAGACTGGCAGCATTTACTTTCTGCCTGTGGGAACAGGTGTCCCTAGAACCAAGCTGCCATGCTTTAAGGAAGCTGATGGACAAGCACTGAGTGAGCACGCCACCTTAGAAGTAGATTCTTTAGCTCTCCAAGAACTAACTATCCCAATGACACTACCTGGTGCAGAGTTGAGCAGTCCCGAGAGAGTCCTGACAAAATGGCAAAATAAATGATTGTTACAGGGATGGCTTACCATGCAGCAATAGTTAAAAAGGTATAAATGTGATCTACATCAAGAGAAGGTGGAATATTTGAATTATTTATCCTGCTGAGTAGTTGTTCCCATT